GAGACTGCTTCAGCGTTGGCTTCACGACCGGGTCCCGAGATGGGCATGGCACGGCACTTACCGGGTTTCTGTCACCCCGTTCTGCCGTCAGACCTTCAGCCCGTGGGCAGATCTTGCATTTCTTTGGACAGGGTGTCCCTTGGGCAAGTATCCTGGCATGTTGTTGTGTCAACAGATGCCTCTGCCAGGGGCTGGGGTGCCATGTGCAATGGGAATGCAGCTGCGGGGCTGCGGCTGGGGCCCCGACTGCAGTGGCATATCAATTGCCTTGTGAGCAGTATGGCTGGCTCTGTGCCACGTCAAATCGCTGCTACACGACAAGCATCGTGCCTAGAATTCGGGACGGGTAACTCTCACGTTGTCCTGAGACCCCGGCCCGGATATGTGCCCAAAGTTCCCACCACGCCTTTCAGGGATCAGGTGGTGAACTTGCAAGCGCTGCCCCGGGAGGAGGCAGACCCAGCCATCGCTCTGCTCTGTCCCGTTCGCGCTCTGCGCATTTACGTGGACCATACGCAGAGCTTCAAGGCCTCAGACCAGCTCTTTGTCTGCTTTGGAGGTCAGCAGAAGGGAAAGGCTGTCTCCAAACAAAGACTTGCCCACTGGTTAGTGGAGGCTATAGTCTTGGCATACCAGGCCCAACATTTACCATGCCCCCTCGGAGTGAGAGCTCACTCTACGAGAGGAGTGGCATCTTCTTGGGCATTGGTGCAGGGTGCCTCGATAGCAGACATCTGTAGAGCTGCCGACTGGGCGACGCCTAACACGTTTGCGAGATTCTATAATCTCCGTGTAGAGCCTGTGTCCTCTCGTGTACTCGCCTCAGGTAGGCAGTAACACCAGACCCGCTCGTGTCGATCACGCTTGCTGCGCCATTCCCCTCTACGGACCCTTGTGCTGGGCTAGGTGCCCGTTTGTAGTGATTCCCCCTTCGGGTGATCCCACATGTGTGTTCTTCCACGGTACGGCTCCCCTCACGGTAAGCCCGTGTCTTTCCCTGGCAGTCGTTCACTGCCATCTCTGCTGCTTAGTCACGTCACCCCAGGCGGGTTGAGTCTACCGCAGGGACTTCCATATGTAGCAGTCCATATGTGTAATTCCACATGATACCTCCTATGCGCAGGATGTGGCTTCCGTAGCGTTCCCAACTGGGTACGCTTTCCCAGTGTTATCCAATGTACGGAACAGCAGTGCGGACACCTCTGCCTAGCCGCTGTCCTATCTTCTGCCCCAGCTGGTGTGGGGGGACTTGCCGGCTTCCGCAGGGCACTGGAGGGGGTCAGCAATAGTGGCGTTTTCCATACGGATCCCAATTCGTCAGTCACGACTGACGTAACGTAGAACGTGACTGACTGAAAGGGAACGTCAGCACAACAGTATTTGAATATATATCTGAATATAATATTTTTTTCTTACTCAGTATTTTTGTCTTGTTTTCCAAATATCTAAACATTCTTAAATCAAGATACATTTACTTAAGAAGCAAAGTTATATAATGTTTTCTAACTTAAAACAAGAAAAAAATTATCTTGTATTCCCTTCCCTTTTTCTTGTTTTAAGTATAAACTCACTTAATTTTTTTCAGAAAACAAGGCTTAATATCTTAAGTCATGTTGCTTCTCCAGTAATTGTATGCTGATTTAATAATGTTTAGATATTTGTACTGGAAAAAAAAATTCTTAAGTGCAGACCCTTCGATTTTTTATTTTTTTTTAAACATGTTACATTTCATGCTTTAAACTTGTCACATATCATGCACTTGCTTTAAAAAGTGTAACTGGTTGCTAGTTTGTATCCTAGAAAGCACCAGATGTGGTCATATGCAAAAGATATTGAAATTCTTCCTTTCTTTCCTTGCAGTCTTGGATTAGTTCTGCCGTCCTACAGTGAAAACCACATCAAGGCCAACCTGAGCGACCAGATCCTCCAGGTCCAGTGTAAGTACCAGGGGCAGGCTAACGCGAAGCCTGCTTACCTTTCTTTCTTCCCAAAGAGACTTCCTGTTCCCCCTCCCGCCCCTCTCGTCCAATCAACGGAAGCCCCTCCCCTTTCTCTGACATCACAGCAGCGTCGGGTCCGAGCGTGGATTCCCAGCGAGCGGCATCGCGTTTCAGCGCTGGGAAAGTGAGAGTGGACGTGTTCTTCTGTGAAACCCCACCCCACCTCTTCCCTCTTCCCTCCTGTCCTCATGCTGTTCTGTACTGAGGTGATTTTTCTTTCCCTGCACGGATGCAAAGAAAAAACCCTCACTAAAAACCAGAGAGGTGAAAGCTGTGGTTTTACTGTGTTTACTGAGTTGAAAATAATGGTGACCATGTGCTATTATTTTTCCTTTTGCCGAAACATTTTTAAAAAATGCTCTCGTCTTCTCTCTCACAATGACGATTCTGAAGCATCTTTTGTCTGGACAGGTTTTGTGTTTTTGTTTTCGTTAGCGAGATGTGAAAAGAGGCATGCTTTTGCTTTTCACTGTGTGCTTTATGTGTTCAGTCGTGTTTATTATTTGCTTTGATTCGTGTGGATGCTCACTGTGCTGTATTGTTTGCCGGCAGCTTTGGAATCAGTCAATAAATAAGAAAAAAGTATCCCACAATGCCCCCTGACGGGTCATTGTCCCGCACGGGAGATGGAACGCCTTTGGTTTTCCTTTCTTTCCTTCTTTTTCCTTGTTTATTGATTGCTTTTATTTATATTTATATATATGTTGTATTTAGTTGCATTTGTTGATTTTAGTCAGTCTCTCTTGTTTGTTTTATATTTAGTTTGTTCTGTTTCATTTAGTTAATTTGTTCTTTATTTCTGTTTTATTCATTCTTTAGTTCTTTTGTTTGATCTTGTTGAGTTGATTTTTTTCTGTTTTCATTTGATGTTGCTCATTCGATCTTTCATCCATCCCTTTTGCTTGCATTTTTGTTCTTTTTTGCTTGTTCGTTTGATCCCTAGTTTGTTCTTTCATTCTTTTTCTTTGTCTGTTTTTGTGTATTTTTCACCTGTTCATTCTTTTATTCTTTTTTTTTTTCATTTAAATTTTATTGATTTCATTCCTCCTTGGTTTAGTTTTTGTTCATCTTTCATTCTCTCTTATTTGTTTGTTTCAGCTTTTGTTTATTCTTCAGTGTGTTTTGTTTGATCTTTTTCATTTGATTCATTTATATCTCTTTCAGTTCTCCCTCTCTTTCGTTCTGTAATTTGTTCTTTAGTCTAATTTTAGTTCTTTCACTTGTTATATTCATTCTTTTGTTTGGTTTTAGATGTTGTTGTTTTTTATACAGGTATATTTAGTTTATTCTTTTGTGCATTTTGTTTGTTATTTCAGTTGTTTTGTTCCTTTTTGTTTGTTTGACATTTAGTTTGTTTTTGTGTATTTTTCTATTGTTTATTTATTTATTCCTTCATTAAGTCTGTAGTTCATTCTTTCATTCATTTTATTTTTTGTTTCCTTTGGTTTATGCTTTCATTCCTCTTAGCTTTAAAATTTTGTTTTTCTTTTTTTCTTTCTTTCTATCTTTCCAAAGCGCATATATGATTCTCGGTTTGTGACACATTATTTTTCTCCATGTTTCGTCATGCAGTGAAGGTTCATTAGTTCCAATTCTGCTCCCGTGTCCTCAGATGTTCTCTCCTCGTCTCCGTCCTCGTGGAGTTCATTCACTGCCTCCGTCTACTTGTTGCATATATTCTTTGCGACATGTCATTCATTTTGGTTTCCTGTTCTCAGTTGTTCATTACTGTTTTGACTGACTTGATTTTCCTTCTTTTGAGAAAAACAATATTTTTATTCAAACAGTCATTGAATAAAATATTGTCTGTGACCCCCCCCCCCCCTCCCCTTCCCCGCCCCCCCTGTTTCTTTTCTGCTCTCTCCTCCTCAGACGGATCAGTCTTCAAGGGCAAGTATACACCATATTGGTCCACTACCTTTGTTACTCTACTTCCTTCCTCGTACCCTTGTCCTGAACTCCCCGCTGACGCCCACCTCGTTCCAGCCTGCTTGCCTCCTCTGTTCCTCCTGCCCGCCTTGCCTTCAAGACCCTCCTCTTCCTCTCTCTCCTCCTCTTCCTCAGTCTCTCACTCACCCACTCACCCTCTTGCTGCGGCCTACACCCACATCTTTCTCTTTTCTCCTTTTCAAGCTCTCTCTCTCTCTTTCTCTCTCGGCTCGGACAAATGTTTAAGGTCTCTCCCTGGCATCTCCTGAAGAATAAAATATGATTTTTCTCTCCGTGTCAAACGTATTTCTGATCCCTGTGTCCATTATGTTTGGGAATATTCTCCTCCATCTGTCTCCTCCTCCTCTCCTCTTTCTTCCTCAGTGACAGTGTTAAATCCTCAAATTGGTGCATTTGCTGTAGAAATTGTCAGTTGTTATTTGTCACGGCTAGTAGACGTTCTACTCTACTCTAGTCATACAGATGTAGTATTTATTTTGAAAGCATCCCTAAAGTAAACTTTAGCCTTTCGGTAGTACAAGTTAGTATTACGGAAGTACAGGTATACGAGCTTATTGTGGTCGTTATTGAGAGGTTATGATTGCACTTTGAGTGTAGCATATCATTGTCTGTTTGTTCTGAAATTTTTGCCCAAAAATGAAAACTCATCATTTACTCTCCCTCATTTTGTTCCAAAATCATTTGACTGACTTTTTTCCATTAAACACAAAATAACTTTTGCAGAATTTTCATGCTGCTTTATTTCATTCAACAACAATATATAGTGCCTGTCGATCTCCAAAAAGATTTAAAAGCACCATAAAGTATTATAAAAGTCTAATATTGTGTGCTATAATCCAAGTCTTCTAAAATCTTTGCGCGAAGAACCAACCAAAATCATCATTCACCCAATATTTTAAAGATTTTTAATAAACAGTTATTTAAAATTGTATTTATTACCCACAGAACGCATCATATGGAGGGAAAAAAACTAAAAAAAACTTGAAATATAAGTCAAAAGTCACATGGACCTCTATGATGGTACTTTTTAAAAGTCTGATATTGCCTGATCAGTGTTACTTTAGTATTATTTATATACTATTATAGTATTTCTTAATATTTTGAATTAGTTTTTATTTTTATATTTTCAGTGTTCGTTTTCATTTTAGTTTAAGTTTTAGTCACTTTGTTAATATGCTTTTGCCATTTTTATTCATTTATATTCAGCTTTAATTTACTTTTAGTAATTTTAGTACTTCAGTTAAAACATATTTCAGTTAATTGTTTTTCATCTAATATTTATGTTTTATTAAATTTTTTTATAGTTTTATGTGCTTTTGTCATTTTTATTAATTCTTGATTTAGTCATTTTAGTACTTCAGTTAAAACTTCAGTTAATTGTTTTTCATCTTAATATTTGTTTTCATTTTTTATCGTTTTATTTTATTTATTTATTTATTTTAAAAAACATTAGATGATACAGTGCAATCAGTAGTAATTCAGTAAATGCACAGCTAAACAGTTTTTAAGCTGGATTTAAATGTGGCTACTAGTTTTAGTTAACAGTAACAGTGCCCCTGATCAATTTATACTTTCACTGAGAAAAGAGCAGCTTGAACATCCTCCAAAACATCTCCTGTTGTGCACCACATAGGTTAGAGGGTGAATAAATGATCTTGAATTTTTATTTTTGTCCAAACTCTTCCTTTAAATCTTGAAGATTAAGCAGAAATGTTTGCCATACAGGCTAATACTTAAAGACTTAAAGATGTGTATGTGCATGTATTGTTGCCTTTAGTTTAGCCAGCCAGTTTATTCCCTTAGGTTGTCTCTTACTATTCATATAATCACTAGTTCTTGTTATGGAATGGGCAGGAATAGGCTACAGATGAATTTGCTAGATGGGCTACTTTAGGTCCTGTCTTGTTGTTTTGGTGACAGAGCGCTTGGTAGCGCCTGGTTTGTTTGTCGTCCTCCTCTTACACCCCTTGTTCTCATCAGCTTGACCCCTCTGTACGTCTATCACCCCCCAGACTGCCACCACAGACGCTCTGCTATGTCTTCACATATCCTGACCTGGAAGTGCAAGACATTGTGGAGGGAAAAACTACCTGGGCACAACAGTGGCTGTGGGTTTTATTGGATACATATATATTCTGTATATACAGATTAATTGCTACTTGAATGCTTGCTTTACATCACAATTTGTGAAATATCAAGACATAAAATATAACAATAACAGCCCTGCATCTTGAAAAAAAATCTGCTGATTACCAAAAAGGCCTATTATTACCTAATTTGATGATGCTGAGTTCAAAAATACCAATAAAAACTTTCCATCATGGACAGGTTTTTATTTTTTTTTAGAAAATATGAAAAAGAAGAATTCTCTCTCTCTCTCTCTCTCTCTCTATATATATATATATATATATATATATCAAATGTTTTGGTTTTAATGACAAAAAGAAGTTTTCAAAATGTATCATTAAACTTACAACTTGAAAAAGTGTTCAAATACAATTTGTCAAACAAACTTTACAAAAAGCTTTTCCACAAAATCTGTAATTTTCTGTCACTGTTTGGGTTTAGTAAAACACCCGCAGATGTAGCAAAACACTATTTTTGGAATCAGCACCCTGAAATTAAGCAACAAGTATTGCATCTCATTCAACAGGTATGATGCAGGACAGTGTGATGAAGGTGAATGCTGGAATAACATCAGGATAATGTGCAGTAGATTAAATTGGGTTGCCCTCTCTCTTCCCCTCCACAATGCTGGGCACTTTCTCCGATTGAGTCTCTGGAGTGGCTCCGCGGTGCCAGTCCGAGGGGCGATCACCTCCATCAGGACCCCTGCCTCACCCACTCCCAGCTAAACGGTTGGCCATGTTGATGCCTGTTGAAAACGAAAGCGGCACTCCACGCTGTTCGTGGGAAAGGCATCGGAGAACTTGCTTCGTCTCAGTGTGTATCCCGAGGGTCGAGCCAGTTCTCCGACTTGCAAAAGAATGAAATTCGGATGAAATTTGAATCAAGCTAAAAGTGTCTGCTTTCCAAATTACGCCATTATTTCGGCCAGTGCGACTCCATTGAAGGCACCATTGTGGCTAACGCTGGTATACCCCCATGATTCCTCAGTGTTGCTATGGTAACGCCCCCACTGCGTTCCTGCACCTTATGAAGAGCAGCTGATGTTCATTTGTTTCTCAGAAGCCTCCCTGTGTTCTCCGTCCTCGGCTTCCCCTGGATAATCTTGCCCGTTTCTGTTGCAGATTTTGAGTCTCTCCTGCCAAACACTTTTGAGTCAGAGGGACATGTGTTCATTGCCCCCAGGTAGCTTTGTGTGACTTCTTGAAGCCACGTTCCTGTTTTCGTGCATATGTCCATCTCTAACTTCCTTTTCAACATACCGTAGTCACTGTAGTCTCTGTGTGTGTGCTGTGCGTAACGTGTCTTTCCATTTTAACCCAAGTCAATGTGTTTATTTATTGTGTTTCATCACCCGTAGGAAATCCTAATAAGATCTCAGTTGTATCTCCTAGACAGCATTAAGAGCAAATGGAGGCTTTTACTGTTCTGGGTTCATCAAGTACACTCTTAAAAATAAAGGTTCTTTATTGGCATTGATGGTTCCATGAAGAAACATCCACGGAATCTTTCTATGCACCAAAAAGTTCTTTATAGTGGAAAAAAGGGTTCTTTGGATGTTTAAAATGTTCTTCATACTAAGAAAAAAAATGGTTCTTTTTTAGAATGTTTACTGAAAGGTTCTTTGGGAAACCAAAAATGGTTCTTTTAAAGGAATAGTTCACCCAAAAATGAACATTTGCTGTACTCACCCTCGGGCCATCCAAGATGTAGATGAGTTTGTTTTTTCATGGGAACAGATTTGGAGAAATGTAGCATTACATCACTTGCTCACCAGTGGATCCTCTGCAGTGAATGGGTGCCGTCAGTATGAGAGTCCAAACAGCTGATAAAAACATCACAATAATCCACACCACTCCAGTTCATCAATTAATGTCTTGAGAAATAAAATAAAAAACGAATCCATTATAAAGTCGTTTTAACTTTAAACCGTTGCTTCTGGCCAAAATACGAGTCCATAATCCATAATAATGCTTCCTCCAGTGAAAATGTCCATCTCCTGTTGTCCTCTCACATCAAAATCCACTGACATATTTGTTTAGATCTGTTTTGGACGGTTTTGGCTTGCAAATAGTGTTTGATCCATGCATGTTTCTCTCCTGATTCACACGAGACGACTTGTTCACTGGAGGAAGTGTTTTTATTATGAAATATGGATTGTGGTATTTTAGTCGGAAACAACAGTTTGAAGTAAAAAAAAAAACTTCTTGCAAAAATGCAGCTTTTCACTCTTTTGTGAGTTGATGGACTAGAGTAGTGTGGATTAAAAAACATTTTTGCGGCCAAAAAAAAAATCTTTTGGAACCTTTGTTTTTAAAAGTGTCAAACTTTTTTCCACAGAAAATAGTTTTGCTCGGTTTATACAAACAAGCAATAGTTATGTGTACAATATTTCACTTACAGTGGAACTTTATGGCACCAGACATTCAGAAGGGTCTTTCTTAAAACTCATTTTATTTATTATTTCTTAGTTATGTTTAATGCCGTTTCTGCAGATGGAGAATGCGCTGTATTAAATACTTTTAAATACCGTGTTAAATGAGTACACTGACAAAAAATTAAAGTAGAAACAACTGCTAGTAAATTTTACAAATAATAAAAAAAGGCAAGTAACGTTAAAATTTGAGGTAGAAATAGTGAAGCATGCTTTTATTTACAATTTTGAAAAATAATTTTTACAGTGTAGTTGTAAATTACAATGGTAGCAAAACCTATAATGCATTGCAATGTCTTTGCACGATAAACTTCCATTGTTCGTATATTATTATAAATGTGATTTTTGTTTGTTTTTACAAACTTGAGCAACAAGTTGATAATATTTTATGTGGTAATTACAGCTGCTAATGAAGCATAACTTGTTTTGGGCCTGGAAAACTCCTGCTTTTTATATTTTTAACCTGAGAAAAAGACATCATTAATCTTACATATGTCTCCTTTAGTTTCAGAAGAGATCTCAACAATGTCTCAAATTGCGATTAGATTTTCCAACGTCTACAATTACTGTAATTTTAGAATGAACTCAAATGTTCCTCTATGCTATGCTCAGTTTTATAGCTCTGTACTCTAACTGTACATCAACATTATATATTTCTTAAACAATTTAAAGAAAAACAAAGATAGAGTTCGTACTTGAAGCGTATCTGAAAGCCATGCTATGAAAGCGCGACCTCTGAGCAGTAAACTGTGTGTTTGAATCATTGTCGTCTGCTGTCATGGATCAGTATCTTCTGATGTTCAGTAGATTCTCCTCATGTCTTCTCCACATCTCATCACTGCAGCTCTCACGCGGCTCCTCTGTGTCTGTGTGTGCATGGCGTTCTCACTTCCTTACATACGGCAGCAGTATCAAGGGGAAGGTTGACTTTGGTTTGCATGGATCTAGAGAAGTTCACGTGCATGCGTCTATGAATGATCATCTTTCTCTCTGTGTTTTTAAAGCATATACACTCCAAAAATCATGTTCTTAGTCAGTAGCTTTGTAATGTTTTCCAGTAAAAATGTCTAAACACCCCTGAAAAGAAAAAGTGCAATAATTATGACTTGTTTTCAGCGAATAAGCCTTGAAGTTGAATTAAGTGAAAAAAAATGGTGTAGGATTTACTTTGAAACAATTTTCACTTAGAAATTGGTAGGAAATGTTACTAATAATTACTAACATATTGAATTAAACATGAAATTTTGAAGTAGAGAAACTTTTTTTTGCAAAATGTTCTAAAATACTTTTTTGTATTTGTCTTGTTTCAAGGATGTTTAGATATTTTTACTGGAAACATGACAAAGATACTGGTTAAGAATAATTTTTTTTTGCAGTGCGGTTATGTTTTATGTATGTAATTGTAGTGTTTTATGCGTTTAAGATGTATACATAAATGTGAAAAATTCTCACTGTCTGTTAAGGGTCTGCAGTCTATAATATAACTGTTTATGATGTTAATCTTTATCAGAGAGAGTTTTCCAGTGTGGAATGATGTGTGTTTTCCTCAGGGAATACTGCAAAGACCTGGAGCTGTCCAACAACAACACAGAGTTCCTGCTCAACTTCATCGCTCTGATGGAGAAGGTCACGCCGGACTCCAAACAATGTGAGGCTCACAGATCGTGTCTGAATTATTTAATAACATAACGCCCTTTTAAAGAACTTTCTGGCCGTAATTTTCGGTTGAGCATTATCCGAACATCATATGTTCCTGTTAAAAAGAACATCTTAAACCAGCCTTGCTGGTCTAAACAGGTCTGTTGGCCGGTTTTAACTCGAACACTGAGCTGTAAGACCAGCTGAGACCACCTTAAAGTATCTACCCCCAATAATCAGTGTTATATTAGTATTATTTGTATACTTTTATACTATTTATTAATATTGAGTAAATTTATTATAATTTTTTTTTTAAGTTTTAGTAATTTTCTTATGTGCTTTTGTCATTTGTATTACTTTTAGTTTGTTTTTTTGTTCATTTTTGTTTCATTATAATTTTAGTCATTTTAGTACTTCAGCTTATTTAATTTAGTTGCCAAGGCAACATTTCTAACTTCCTAATTTAGAAAAGTTATTTAAGTTTAAGCTTTTTCGTGTAATATTTACATTTTATATTCAAATACTTATTTTGACTTTATTTCATTTACAAATATATATTTTTTTATTATTTTCAGTTTTAGATAACAATAACACTGACCATAATTCACATTCTGAATCTCTCTTTGACAATTCTTGAACTCAAAACCATCTTGTATGAAGATATCAGCTCATATATCATAATGTCATCCTCATTTTTCCACACAGGCGACAATTTCTTGCTGCATAATCTGATCTTGGACACGGGCATCATTAAGGAGCTGGTAGATAAAGTCTGGAAGAACAAGGACCTCAACACGTACGTTCATATTCAGGAAGAACCACTGAAATTCCTCCAATTCATTAGTAGACTGACACCTTTATTAGGCATCAACCTAAAAATCTCAAGCACAAAATATTCTGCATTAGAGCTAGTGATAAATGTGAGTGAATATGTGTGTTCTGATGCTCTAGGTACGGCTTTATAACAGTCTTTGCAGCCACAGATGGAGGCGTCACTCGAGTTTTCCCTAATAGGTGAGTCTGGTTTTTTTTTCTGTATTTGTCACTGTGTTGTTTTAAATAGCTGCTAAGGTAAAGTGTGTGTGTGTGTGTGTGTGCGCGTGTGTGTGTGTGTGTGAGAGTGTGTGTGTGTGTGTGCGAGTGTGTGTGTGTGTGTGTGCTCGTGTGTGTGTGTGTGTGTGTGTGTGTGTGTGTGTGTGTGTGTGTGTGTGTGTGTGCGTACATCAGGGCCTCTGAGACCTGGGAGGAAAATCCAGAGCCGTTTAATGCTAGTTATTACCGTCGCAGTCTGGACAACAAGGGCTACATCTTCAGAGCCCCCTACCGCACCGGTGAGTGAGAAACACACATCAGATGACTGTACACTCTTTACCCTCATATAATAGTCTCTTGAGACAGTGTTTTCACAATGCAAAGTGTAATTAAAATAGTATATTTAATATGAAGAAAAAATATTAAATGTAAAAACTTATTTGTATAAATAATAATTATAATTCAATATAATTTATAATATTGTATATATAATATACTGTATTATACTATATTCTAAATTATATTGAAATTATTCTTTTTAAATTTAATAATAATTATAATTGATTATTTGTTAATGAAAATATATATATATTAATTTACTGTCTTTAAAGTAAAAATAGTTCAAATTTAATTTATATTATATATATATTTGTATATTAACAAATATATGCTATATTTTAAATATAATTGATTAATTATATTTTTAATGTAATAATAATAAAAATAATTATGATTATTTGTTTATATATATTTATAAATGTAATACACATTTATATATTATTAATTATATTCTGATATATATATATATATATATATACTGTATATACACACACACACCCACATAGACACACATAAGCAGAATATAATTAATAAGCAGAATACACAACTCAACTTTAATTTACTATGTCTTCAAACTCAGTTCATCCAGTCAGAATTTTTAATAGCAATTACAGTATAATTTTTAATATATCATTACTTTTATAATTTAACTGCTTTTTTTGTTTTATGTTGTCTAGCCAATGACGACATACTGAATCCAGAGAACGACACCATCGGTATTCTGGTTAGCACTGCAGTGGACATTACCATAGGAATCAGAAACCTCAAACCTGCAGGTAAATACAACTTCACGCACACTGTATGTGACTCAGGGACAGGCAGACGGCTGCCTCTGCACGGGTCCACATGGAGGCCTTTTGAATCAGATAAATAGCACAGCTTATGTGTGCAAACAAAGGCAAGATCAAATGTGGGATTTGAGATGATGAATCAATAGCTTAATTAAGAAATTCATCATAACTAATAGACAGTCAATAGCTGTGTTTGAATACTTGATCTTTCTCAGTACAATAAATCCTGAGACATTTTGCCATTTTTGACAAATCGACAGTGATATGACTTCTTCACTGAGCTCATGATCATCCTGTTACGTCAGGATTACCTGACATGTGGATTAGAAGAGATAAGTGCTGCTTTATGACTCTGGCTTTAGAAGAATGACATATTCTGCTCTGAACATTGTTGAAAAGTCAACTCTGGTGAATTATGTCGATGTAAATATGTCACCAAAGTTAAAGTGCCCCTATAATGCCATTTTTAAGGTTCCTAATATTGTTTTGGGAGTCTCCTACAATAGGTTTACATAAGGTTTACTCAGAATATGCATTTAATATCACGTCGTTTTCCAGCAATTCTCAATTTGTCTGAAGCAGTTCAAAGATTCAGTCTCTCTAAACCCCTTCTTTCCGTGAGCCTACTCTGCTCTGATTGGTCAGATGGCCCAGTCTGTTATGATTGGTCTACCGCGTACAGCGCGTGTCGGAAACGCATTGCCATAGTTCCATATTTTGAATGCTTGATTTTGAACGATCTATTATTTATATATATATATATATATACTGTATATACACACACACACCCACATAGACACACATAAGCAGAATATAATTAATAAGCAGAATACACAACTCAACTTTAATTTACTATGTCTTCAAACTCAGTTCATCCAGTCAGAATTTTTAATAGCAATTACAGTATAATTTTTAATATATCATTACTTTTATAATTTAACTGCTTTTTTTGTTTTATGTTGTCTAGCCAATGACGACATACTGAATCCAGAGAACGACACCATCGGTATTCTGGTTAGCACTGCAGTGGACATTACCATAGGAATCAGAAACCTCAAACCTGCAGGTAAATACAACTTCACGCACACTGTATGTGACTCAGGGACAGGCAGACGGCTGCCTCTGCACGGGTCCACATGGAGGCCTTTTGAATCAGATAAATAGCACAGCTTATGTGTGCAAACAAAGGCAAGATCAAATGTGGGATTTGAGATGATGAATCAATAGCTTAATTAAGAAATTCATCATAACTAATAGACAGTCAATAGCTGTGTTTGAATACTTGATCTTTCTCAGTACAATAAATCCTGAGACATTTTGCCATTTTTGACAAATCGACAGTGATATGACTTCTTCACTGAGCTCATGATCATCCTGTTACGTCAGGATTACCTGACATGTGGATTAGAAGAGATAAGTGCTGCTTTATGACTCTGGCTTTAGAAGAATGACATATTCTGCTCTGAACATTGTTGAAAAGTCAACTCTGGTGAATTATGTCGATGTAAATATGTCACCAAAGTTAAAGTGCCCCTATAATGCCATTTTTAAGGTTCCTAATATTGTTTTGGGAGTCTCCTACAATAGGTTTACATAAGGTTTACTCAGAATATGCATTTAATATCACGTCGTTTTCCAGCAATTCTCAATTTGTCTGAAGCAGTTCAAAGATTCAGTCTCTCTAAACCCCTTCTTTCCGTGAGCCTACTCTGCTCTGATTGGTCAGATGGCCCAGTCTGTTATGATTGGTCTACCGCGTACAGCGCGTGTCGGAAACGCATTGCCATAGTTCCATATTTTGAATGCTTGATTTTGAACGATCTATTATTTATCATACTTACAGGTTGTGATTCAGTGGAGCCAGCTGGTCCAAAAAAACTGTATACTGATTCATCTTTTAGGATCAAGTGTTTAGAGAAGCCCGGGATTAGAGAAGCAGTCGTCAGTCAAATGACGTGTTTGTGGGCAGGGTCAAGTTGTTCACGGCCATCGGCCGGCCAATGTAGAACATAGGTGGGCATTATGCAAATGTGTTACCCCGTGACGTGTAGCCGTCACAGAAGTGGGATTCGAATTACTAACGACTCGTTCAGGCTGTTCAGATTATTTTTGGAGACAATAACTTTATTTATCATGCACTTTCGGCTTTTCAACTTTGCAGATCGTTTACATTCATATAGTTACATTACACACTGCATGAAAGGCAATATTCGAAATGGCATAATATGGGCACTTTAACTTATATAGATGATAACACAGATTAAGTTGAGAATCAGACAAATCAGAAATGCTTTGGCAGGGCATGTAAAAATGGTGGCAGGGCACGTAAAATTGTGAACTAACTAATAATGATTTAAATAAAAAAAGTACAATATATTGTTCATGTAAAAGGAACAGTTGCAAAAGCATTTTAATTGTAAGGTGAGTGGAAAATGGTGAAGACCACAGGTTTTAGGGTTTCTCTTTTCATTCTGTTTCCGTCTTATATTCTCTTAGTTGTGGGTGTGAAGCTTGACCTTGAGGCTTGGACTGACAAATTCAAGATCCTGGCGAGCAACCACACCAACAGCAACCGACAGAGCTCTCAAACGGTAAAATGCACGCACACACACATCTATGGCTATACACAAGCACATGCTGCTCTAAATACTGTTGTTTCTGTCTGACAGTGTGGACCAACCAGTGGCTGTGAAATGGACTGTGAAGCCAACGGTGATGTAAGAGACTCGTAATGCACTTAATACAGAGATCTAAAGCTCACATCCATACATTCACATCCTTCTTTTCAGAGTTTGTCCATTAAGTGTAGCCGATTGATCTAGTGATTTTCTATTCAAATGACTGATTAATGATGGCAGCAGTAATGCGATCACTTGAAGCTGTCCGTCTTTCTTCGCAGGACTTGCTTTGTTATCTGATAGATGACGGCGGCTTCCTCGTCATGTCCAATCAGAAAGACTACTTGAATAAGGTCAGGACGTTCAACAGGAAAGTGAAGTGAAAACAGACTGTGTTTGCTTCTGTTTTTCACTCTGTGCTCTTCCTCTTCAATCTGTAGATCGGGATGTTCTTTGGCGAGGTCGATGCCACCCTGTTTTACGCCCTCTATAACAACTCCTTCTACAAACGCAAGCAGTCTTACGACTATCAGTCGTTGTGTGACCCAGTGCCCAGCAGCAACACAGGGGCCGCCCCGCGAGGAGTGTTTGTGGTACGAGCGTGAATGGACGGGATAAGTCAATGCCTACGTTAACATGCATCCTAATAATCTGATTCAAATCTTAACCAGACACCTCAATCAATCCAAATGAAATATAATTGAAAGGGCTGGTATAGATTTTAAGCAATCTGTTAAAAATGAAAATTGAATAAATGGATAGATGAATAGATGGATAAAGAGTGTGCATAGGGTAGGTGAGTATTTGGATGGATGATGAACTGTGGCATGATCAAATGTCATGTGTTTCCTCTCAGCCTACTATTGCTGATGTGTTAAATGTTGCCTGGTGGACGTCAGCCGCTGCCTGGTGAGTTTCTGTCTTACAGTCAATTATAATGTCTGATCTCAGTGATGTAGCAGCTTGTAAACATGTGCAAACATCATAGGCTCACACTCAGGAATCTGTGTGTGTCCTAAATTGAGGTCCCCATGGGGAAACAAGCTTATAAATCATACAGAATGAGTTTTTTTGAGAATGTAAAAATGCAGAAAGTTTTCTGTGAGGGGTAGGTTTAGGTGTAGGGCAATAGAATATACGGTTTGTACAGTATAAAAACCATTACGCCTATGGAGAGTCACCACAAGGATAGTAAACCAGAAGTGTGTGTGTGTGTGTGTGTGTGTGCGTGCGTGTGTGTGTGTGTGTGTTGTACTCTATAGGTCACTGCTGCAGCAGATGCTGTATGGATTCGCCTATCAGAGTTGGTTCATGACAGGTGTGTGACGTTTACATTGATTTGAAAAGGTCATTGTTTAAGTGGATCAATAAGAAGACTAGTCTAACATGTGTTAATGTAGATGAGGTGGATGCTGAAGGAATGGAGTCTAGAGCGACCAGCTGTGTGACGGTACAGACACAGTTTTACTTCAGTAACATCAGCAGCTCCTACAACATACTGCAGGACTGTGACAACTGCTCCAGGTCAGACACACAGCAGTCATGCAGGCAGTATACATCAGATATATACAGACTACAGGCTGTTTTTAATAATAATGTGTCTGTTTTACAGGTTAATTCATGCTAGGAGAATAAACAACACCAACCTGCTGTTTGTGGTGGCTGAAAAACTGTCCTGCGACTCCTGTGAAATAGAGAAACTGTCTCAGGTGGAAACAGAATGTATCCTTACCCATAAATGTGCATTTCATGCATTGGTTTTAATTTCTGAAATTTTAATGCAATGTACGCTGCTGTTCAAAAGTTTGGGGTTGGTTGCATTTATCTGATCAAAAAAAATATTTTGAAATATTATTGCTACTTAAATATATACTAATGTATGTTTTCTGAATAATATATTTTACTATGTAATTTATTCCTGTGATGCAAAGCTGAATTTTCAGCATCATTACTCCAGTCTTCAGTGTCACATGATCCTTCAGAAATCATTCTAATATGCTCATTTGCTGCTCAAAAACATTTCTGATTATTATCAATGTTAAAAAAAACTTTGCAAACTGTGATATATTCTATTTTTCTCGATTGTTTTGATGAATAAACATATTAATTTCCTTCCAAAAAAAAAAAATCTTACCAACTCCAAATTTTTAAACGGTTGTGTAAATTTGCTAAAAAAAAAAATTCCTTAACACCCTCCGTTTCTCAGACAAGGAAATTAATACATGCGAGACAATAGCCACAGCCCGGTATAGAAAAGGAACCACGAGCTGTTTCGACTACAGTGTTTTAGTGAGTACACATGCACATTTCCACTTGTTTATTCAAATAAATCTTTCTGGAATATTTACAGTTGAATGTCTATGGATGGCATGATGAGCTCTGTAAACCCCGCCCACATGATTAACATCAGTAATGTATAACCTAGACTGTTTAAGTAGCAAATCAATTAGAATTAGAATACGTGCCTAAACTAAAATATGAGTTTCACAATCCTGCATTTAAAGCCACCAGAAGACTTGTAAGTGCATTAATGGAGACCCATTTCTCTATTTCTCTTCCAGGAGAACACATCAGACTGTGGGCGGGGTCACTCGTTCCGCCCCTCCCTCCTCACTTTACTCCTCCTCCAGCTCCTCCTCCTGTGTGTTCTGGCCCACCCCTCTGTTTAACTCCATCCTCCTGTCCTCCTCTCCCTCCTTAATTCCGCTTTTCTCCTTTATCTCCCCGTTGCTCTAGTCATAGGTAATATAATGGGACTTCCTCTTGCCCTTATACGGAAGCCCAGTCGTGCTGCTTCATCCACTTAGCTTCACAGGTTGTTGCTTAGTGACCGTTGCAGAACTTTGTCGTCTCCTGCCAATCAAGAGCATTTGTGGAAGGAGCTAAAAGTGTCTTTGTGAAAACAGGAAGCTAGCGATGTGGAAACCGACGGCCATCTTGGACCATTGAAGAAATGGTTGAAAATGACATGGACTGTTGCCTCCTGCCTTTGCGGCTGTAAGGGGGTTGGGTTTTGTTTGACTCCGCCTCTAAAGGGAAAGGTCATCCTCATCATCCTCATCTTCATCCTGTAACCCGTGTCGCGAGGCTACGGGACATTCTAACGCCATCTAGCTTCCGGTAATAAGAAAATAACCAAATAAGAACAGAACTTTAAGTGATTCTCAAAAAAGTATCAATAACAACATGTGAGTATTAAAAACATACCTCCATATATTAGGGTATTTAATGAGAAAGGGAAGACGATAGATGATATTTATTCAATTATCTTTTGTTTATTTATGCACTATATCTACTTCTTGCCAAAACGAGACTTGTTGTGTGGTCTAACTTTTCTAGCCAAATTAGGAGGTAAGAAAACCACAGAAAAAGAAAGTAGTGAAATTGAAGAGGTATCGCACCATTCCTTCATCAGTCACAAGGGCTTCATATATTTATTATTTATATTTATATCACAACCCTGATCCGATTAGGTTAGGCATTTTATTTGTGTTTATTCTTTGTATCACAAGGTAAACTATATTAATGCCTCAGTAATATAATATTTGCAGCTAATATGTAATAACATGTTCATTTTTAAACGACTAGTTCACCCAAAAATGGCAATTTTGTTTGATTTATTCACCCTCATGCCGTTCCAAACCTGTTTGCTGTTATTATTTCACCAATGAGAATTTTTTTAAGAATCAGGATAGTGACCGTGATTTCCAGCTCCAAAAAAAAAATTATCATAAAAGCAGTCAGCATGAAGTTGTCTAAAGTCAAACGATAGCTTAGTGTTATAATCAGACCGAAAGCTATTGTGTGGCTTCAGAAGACTTGGAATATTGCACATAAATCATATGGACTACTTCTATTTCTCTTTTTTTTTTTTGGAGCGTGACAGACATGGTCACTGTTATTGAATGGAAAACATTTAGGTGAACTGTTCCTTTAAATAAGATGAGATGTGCTAATGAAGAGATTTTTGATGGATTGAAATGCAGTTTGGGTGTTTTTTAGCGATGATATCTGTTTGCATTCTTTGTATTTCTGTGCTGTACAGTTTTTCACAATCTCAGAATGTTAACCACATATTGCATCTGATCACTTCACAACACATGCTGTTTGTTTGCGCCATCATTTGCACTGATGGATTTGTCTGTGAATAGTAATAGCAACCATGATCCTAGTCAATATGGTCATTCATGTAGAGGAGAAATGTTTTATTTTTCATATGTACGTAGGGCCCAAAACATACTCAATGCAAACATTTCTAGATATGTAGGCTGGATTAAATGTTAAATAATGTGCCGATGCAATTGAAGCATTTGCGTCTGCTTGCATACTTGTATAGAGTATGTGTTTCAGGCCTCATTATCTGTCATGACATTATATCTTATGTTGAAATGTTAATAATGCTATGAAACCTAAGCAAAAATCCTTGTTTTGGGCCCTGCATCAACCTTCTTTTAGCTGTGCCTTGATGCACTATTATATTGGACAGCATTGATCATAGAGCTCCACTAACAGTTTAGTGCAGTAAAAGTCTTTTGTGGGCCTTAAAACTCACAGGTTGTGTTTGACATAGAATACTATCATACTACATACTATATTCTTCATGCCATTTAAAAAAAAATGCATTAATGTTCACTAATGAACATTTTTATGATTTGTCCTGGTCACATGATTGCTTGGATGACTAACTATATTTGTCAAAATAAGCATTACAATAAATGGAATACAATATTTACCATGATTAGCCAATAATCAAGTCAAGAGTGAAATAGTCACAGTTGATATTGCTTCCGGTCATTCATCACACTGGAAATGGCAGGTCAAGTTGAGTGCATTGCATTGTGGGATACTGTATTCGGTATTCCATGTGATGTAATGCGCATTTTGATAAATGTAGTTGCTTTTCAAGTATTCTACACATCTGGTGTGCAATGTGCATACAGCAGAAATAGTATGGTTAGTATGCTAGTATGCTATTCCGGACACAGCTCGTGCCTCCAAACATCATCACCTGACTGATATAAGGGAATGCTCATTTGTTTTTGTTTAATTTCGAGTATTTTTGAGCCGCAGTGTTTGCCATAACCTTCAGCATCATCCCTGCAATGTACACAAACTTGACAAGCACCTTTATTTTGTCAGTAAACGGAGCTAAATCTGAACCTCACTGACTGATTCTCAGTTGCACGTTTGGCATTTTAGTGGCCATCACCTTCAATGCTCCTTTAAGGTTCAGTGGCAAGAGGTTTAAGGACGGCCCATCGGTTTTAGGATTGTCTTTGTAAGAGCTTTTCATGCATTCAATCCTACTGCTAAGCTGCTACCGAGTTTTAGTAAAGTACATTTACATTTAGTCATTTAGCAGACGCTTTTATCCAAAGCGACTTACAATTGGGGGATACATAAAGAAGTGAACAGAAACAGACACAAGAAGTGGTTGTAATACCAAGTTCTTAGACATTGTTCAAATAAGTACAAGCTAGAAAGAGAAGGAATAAATAAAGAGAGAGTTTTTTTAATTTTTTATGATGAAGTCAAGTAGCTTCGAAAGAGATGAGTTTTCAGCTGTCGCTTGAAAATTGTCAGGGATTCAGCATTCCGGATAGGGGTGGGAAGATCGTTCCACCAGCCAGGAGTGGTGAACGAGAATGTTCTGAAAAGTGATTTTGAGCCTCTCTGTGGTGGTAGCACGAGGCGTCGCTCACTAGCGGATCTCAGACTTCTGAAGGGGATGTAGATTCGTAGTAGTGAGTGGAAGTAGGCGGGTGCTGAGCCTGTGGCTGTTCTATATGCAAGCATCAATGTCTTGAACTTGATTCGGGCCACAACCGGGAGCCAATGCAAGGAGATGAAGAGAGGTGTAACATGGGCTCTTTTGGGCTCGTTGAAGACCAGTCGTGCCGCTGCATTCTGAATCATTTGTAGAGGTTTGATTGTGCTTGATGGGAGTCCAGCCAGAAGAGCATTGCAGTAGTCCAGCCTAGAGATGACAAGGGCCTGGACAAGAAGTTGTGCAGCATGCTCCGTTAGAAAGGGCCTGATCTTTCTGATGTTGTGCAATGCAAAGTAGGTGTTGGGGTTGAACTGACAGCTCTACATAACCTCAGTCCATCTCTGGCTTCACAACGGAGGCAGTTTGGTTATAGTGTTCCTCACACAAATATGGGAATGGCTTTACTGTTGTAGTTTATATAAAGTGAGAGTTTATTCAAGGTTTGCTGATGGTTGAGGAAGTGAATCTGTGTTTGCCGTTATGTGACATAACTGTGAAAATAGATGATTTTTCGAGAAGTACTTTGAGAGTATTGTCAGTTGTTGGTGTGGAAGGAATGATCTGATCTGTGTCAAACGAATGTTACATATCTGTCTGTCTCGAGGCAAAATCTGTTAAAGCCTGTTTTATTTGCCTGTGCAATTTTAAAAGACAGCACTTAACATGTTAATCATTCCCTCTCTGTCTGTTTTAAGTTAGTTCACCCGAAATGTATCATTTATTCACCCTCATGTCATTCCAAACCTGTATGACATTCATTCGTCTGTATGAAAACTAATGTTTGGAAAGGACATCTCCATTTGTTTTATGAATGAAAGAAACTCATATATGCCGTAAGGGTGAGTAAATGAGAATTCAGTTTGGGTGATCTATTGTCTGTCAGGATGTCATGAATTTTAAACACACCTTATTTGAGAGGTGAAAATGCATGTGTGATGCTAGAGGACATGATTCTTACGTCACTTAGTTTGTTTGTCATCCACCTTCAGAACTAATTGGTTAAAGAGAAAATGAGGTATATATGTTAAGCTTGATTCAGTGGACTGTACATATCACTAATATTTGAACTTGAATGCAATCCTCATCCTGACACTGTCACATGTGACTCCTGTTTATAACCCACATCCTGATTGGATTTATGAATCCATCTACAGTATGAATATATATTTTAGACCCCATTGAGTCCTAGAAATGGGAAAAACACAAATTCTGAAATACAAGTGCAATGTCATATGCGGTACTTTAAACGGGGGGAAAAAAGGTTTAAAAAGACTGTTTAAGCTTCAGTATGCTGTGCTAAGTTTAAGGGATAGTTCACCCAAAAATAAAAAAATTCATCATTTACTCGGCCTCAGGTTTTTCCAAACCTGATTATAGGCAAAATATAAGTGCGTTTCCATACAAAACCATAATAAAAATATAGCAACCAGGGGCTTTCGAGCTCCTAAAAAGACATAATGCTCCATAAAAATATTATAGAGGCTGTCCATATGTCTTGTGCACTATATTACAAATCACTGAGAAGAATTTAAGTTAACTCAAATTTGAATTTGTGTGCATTCAAATGGTTTTCATTGACATGAGAGTGAGTAAGTGATGACATAATCTTAATTTCTGGGTGAACAATTCCTCTAACTCTGTGGTTCCCAACCCTGGCCCCGGAGGCACCCCAACACTGCACATTTTGCATGTCTCCTTTCTCTGACGCACCAGTTTCAGATCTTGGAGTTTCTACTAATCAGCTGATGACCTGAATCAGGTGTGTTTGATTAAGGAGAAATGCAAAACGTGCAGTGTTGGGGTGCCTCCAGGACCAGGGTTGGGAACCACTGATCTAACTCACAACTTTAATGTTGAAACATGTTAAACGGCTAATGTGTACCTCTTTCTTTGCCTGATTATGGAAACAATCTGCTATTTCATTTCATATCAGGGCAAAGAGTGCTCCGAAAGGTGGAAATATGCCTTGTTCTTTACTCTGGTGAGTTGGTTTAAAACTTTGCCCCTTTTTTATTTTTGGGGGGAAAGTGTGTAATTGTCTTAAAACTAAGTGGTCTCAAAAATTTGTTTTTGCCAAAAAAAAAAAAAAAGAGAAAAAAATAGTATTCAAAAAGAAAAGCTAAAAGAGGAAGCAGCTTGCGCAAGGGGAGGGGCCTGATGTATAACCCGCCCACTGGGAGGAGTCATTAGCTCAGACCCTCCCCCCTAGCCCCTCCCCCTCCAAAGCAACATCATTGTAGGTGCGTTTCCATCAGCGAGACGTGTGTATGTGATTACGTAGTCTTTAGTCTGGTGCTCCGTGACTAATGTGTACAAAAAAAATATATATAAAAAAAACGTACAAAGGAGAAACTAAATTTAACATGAGTGAGGTTTTAAAATGTATTAACAATTAAAAAAAAAATAGAAACACAGTACTGCAGATAATACTCATGAGTTGAGCTCTGAAATCATGGTGAGCGTTTTTCTTTCGTTCGTTTATTGGATTGTGTGTTGGGGGCTCAGTGCCTCGTCTCTGGGTCCATGTTGCTCCATTTTTTTGTACAGACAACAAAAAAAGACAAGGTCAAATTTGTAAAATATTGTTTCTGTGACTCCTTGTAAAATATTTTCAAATTGTTTATTACAGAGAATCAGTTATTAAATAATGTTCATATTTTTCACTTCAGTGCATTGTGTAGTGGTTATTTTTCTGATGCAATCAACATGTTTTCGATGCTCATTAGAGATACATAAACACGTGAATGTGATTCGAAGTCATTGGTCCCAATTTTAACGTGTGGCATCATAATACTGTACTACATTCATAAGACAAGCTTAAAATATATTTAATGATTCATTTTTAGTTGCAGTTTCTATTTATCTGTCATTTGAAAACAAAAAAATACCGTGATAAAACTAAATAATAAAAAGTAAAAAATTACACCATATAGTCAAAACTGTTGACAGGCAGCATATTATCACAAAATCTATGGAAATGAATATTGCATCTGTTTTTGAAAAATAATGGTGAGAATTTAGTCAGCATAAAATCTAAATTGCCCGTCGTTTACTGTAATACAAGTTTCTTGTTGACTGTTATGAATGTTACTTATTAAATGAATATTCCTTGCACATCATTTTTTTTTATTTTAAGGGTTCAAAACACCTAGTTTTCAGTCTAATCAGTTCCCAGTGATAAAACTAAATAATAAAAAGTAAAAAATTACACCATATAGTCAAAACTGTTGACAGGCAGCATATTATCACAAAATCTATGGAAATTAATATTGCATCTGTTTTTGAAAAATAATTTAGTCAGCATAAAATCTAAATTGCCCGTCGTTTACTGTAATACAAGTTTCTTGTTGACTGTTATGAATGTTACTTATTAAATTATTATTCCTTGCACATCGTTTTTTTTTATTTTAAGGGTTCAAAACACCTAGTTTTCAGTCTAATCAGTTCCCAACATTAGTTTTTTAATATTTATATTTATATGAAAAATATTTATATTAAATGCTTAAATGTTATAATTGTTTCTAATAGTTAAATATAATTACAATAAAGTAATACATTTTGTATATAACGATATTAACAGTATAAAATAATAATATAAAAACATATTTAAAAATGAACAAAAATAAAGTACCACCGTTTTGACATGATGACAATACATTTTATGCTTTACAGCGCTTTAAAGCGTCCATATTAAAGGCTATTAAATGATATCTTAATTATTTATAAAGTTTAAATATATTTATAACATTATTACCTAAATTTGATATCACATTAACAATATCAACGAATGATACATTTTTTAAATTACCAAAAAACTACCATGGTATGTTTGTGGCATACAAAAGATTCTGTTATGTTCATAATATGGTAATATTATGGATGGATGGATGTAAATACCATGGTACGTAATGATAATTATCCAGTACTATGGTATGTTTAAAGTACCATAGTGTTACCATCTAATATAACTTCTGTAGCACACCTGGCAGGTCGACGGCCACAGCTCGGTAACCCGCGGCAGCTAGAGTCTCCAGAGTCCCGATCTTCAGCCAGTTTTCCGACGAGAACCGGATCCCGTGCAGCAGCAGGACGCAGAGTCTGGCGCCGCTCGACGGAAGCGTCTGTCGGTAGAACAGCGGCTGATCTCCGCAGATCTCCAGCCGAACCGAGCCTTCAGACATCTCAACCGAAGACATGAATCTAACGAGAGCGAAACCAACCTGTGGCGAGACAAAGCACGAGAGCAAAGTTCACGAGCAAGACACGCTGAGCGTTGATTTCTGAAGGAAGTAACAGAAGTTGGAATAAGTCACAATACATAAAGTATTTCAGCAATTCGGTTTGTTAAAGTTCAATAATTCACCCATGAACCGGAGTATGACATAGTAAAGTATTTGTTTTACCAGTGTAAACTGCTGCTGCGGAGGTTTGAGTCCCGGGAGATTCTGTCAGTTTTTACCAGAGAGACACACTGACCTCTAGCGGCTAACTTATCAAAATACAACCTCCACGAACGAACATGATTTCTCCACATCACCTAGCCTAGCCTATTTTATGCTAATGATTAATTCATAATGTATAAATGAATGACTAAATTGCACGCAGCTTTTAAAATCACTA